AAAAATTCGGGCCAATCATAAACGGTCACGTCATTATCTATTTTATTTAGGGATTAATTATATATTAACCCTAAATTAAAATTAAAGATAATTTTGACAATTAAAATATGTAATTGGGTCATATGAGTATTGGGCTGGTAATCGATTTGGTTCACAAACTTGTCCCAAAACCCAAAGAGTGGATTAATATTTAAATTTAAATAAATCAATTTAAAGAATTGGGTTTGACCCAACATTACCAAACCACCAAATCCTATGGAAACCTCTATAAATAGAGGAGACCTCATCCATTTTGAAGGTTCAGATTTTTTAGAATTGAGATGATTCACACCAAATTGGAGACTCTCTGAAGACTTGAGGATTCGAAGACCAACTTGAAGACTTTGAATACTTGAAGACTTGAAAACTTTCGAATAACATATAACTTCGATYCAAATTCAAGAACAAGCATCTGAATCTTCACATCAAGTTCAAGAAAAAGAATCAGAAGATAAAAGATTAGAGATTGAATCCACTATACAACACATACTACAAATATAAAAGTTCAATTCCACGAAACTTAATTTCTCCAAAAGTTTCGTGTGAACAGTCGTATTGAGGTTGACTCGAGTGGACGTGAATTGCATTGATTGATTCAGGTTTGATATGATTTGGTGGACTGGTCCAACTTGTCCAACTCGAACAACTTGACTCAAGTGGTTCTGACCCACATTGCTGATTTAGCTTCATTTAATTAAGGTGGTGTCGACACATAACAAACATAAAATTAAAAATTCATAGTCATATTAGAAGTTCAAAGACCAAGCTTGTAATGTAATCGAGCAAGTTAAAATAAAATTATTATAATAACAAAATAGCATTTTAAGGCGAATTTAAAATTTAAAATTTCGTAAAATTAGATAAGAAAAAAAAAACGAAACATACAAAATTAAAAAAAATCATAGATATGTAATTTAGTAAACTCTCTGGTTAGCGCAAATGAAGGAAATTAATTAATAGAAACAAAAAGGGGTCTGAAAGCAATAAACACTTAAAACAGTCCATAATTGGCTGTATCATGCAATTGGCCATATTTTAGGTTCCTATAAATCCAAGCAAAGTTAGCAAACTAATTGGCTACTATCTACAAAATTCTCTCTCTAATTAATTTTTCCTTATCAGTTTCTCTCTCCTCTGCAAAATTCGTATATGTGTGTGTGAATTATTTAGGGCCACTCAACTGCAACTGGATCGAGCAGATGAGCGAACTCCTACCAACATCTGTACCACGATCAATCAGAATCCATAATCCGATAGCTTCCTTATATATTAATTTCTTCTACCGAATTTCATGGTGACAGTCCGAGACGAACCGCCGACAGCGGATTCGCCGCTGGATCGGAAGCCACAGCAGAGTGCTTCCGCCGCACCGCCGGCGACGGAGCTTGGCCAGAACCAGAACCGATTTCAAGTTCCGCCGACCGCCACCACTTCTCCGCCTCCCTGCGAGACCGAAACGCCGACCGTCGCCGATTCCGACTGCCAGGTAACAATCGGTTCTGAATCGTACTCTGGAAAAGAAAACTCTGCTTTAATTTCTTCTTTCTTTCTGCCGATGCGATTTTTCTTTTCTTTTCTGGAGTTGATTTGATTTGTTAATTTGCGTCTTCGCCTTTTTTGAGTTTCTTCTACGCCACCGCTAGAGATGTCGATTAATCAGTTGGGATTCGGGAACGGAACGATTCTTTAGGCACGAACCGACATGTCGGCATCGTTTGCATTTTGAAATAGAAAAATGATTCCTACGAATTACGCAACTTCGATTTACCCTCCGAATCAAGGTCTTGCTTATAAAAATTAACGTTCCTATCTGTTATTATTATTATTATTATTATTATTATTATTATTTTATCTTATCTTCTGAAGATTAATTTGTTTTTATTCAATCGGTTTTTGGATTTCAACCAACTTTTTAGACGATGAATTTAAACATTAAAATTGTGATGAAAAACGGTCACTGTAAGAGTGAGTTTGTGGTGATATTTTAGAGTAGTAAAAGGTGGTTAAAGTAGCAGAAAAAAAAATTGCGATTGTAGCACAAAGAGATTCAATGAGAGTTGAGTTTGTGAAAATAAATTTTATATAATTATTTTTAATATTTAGTTGCACTCGTCAAAGTTCATATAATTAAAAATAATTTTGAAGGATTAAAATTACTCGGGATTTTTAAGGTCTTACCCAACTAAATATGTTCATGTTGTAAAAATATCGTTTTTTTAATAAACCATCTCTAACTCAATATCATTTTTTCTTTTCGAATACAACATGTGAAAGTGGATGATCAAACTCACAATCTCTTAATTTGATATGTCAATTTAAAAAAGATATTTTTTGAGAAAAATAAATAGACATTTCCAAAACGGTGGGCCCTACGCCAACGCTTTGAATTTGATAAGGATAGGGTCCACTTTGTCGTTGAAATTTTTGCCTCTATTTACTGAAAACAATTTACAAAATTCAAATTTATTATTTTTACTAAATAAATGCTTGCCCATAAACTTTTCTTGGAACATTTAAAACTAGGAATTATCGTTAAAAACCTTAATGGAGGATATGGATTTCGGAAAGGCCTGTATAGGAATTTCACCATATTATAAGTTCCGTCCGAAAAAGAAAAAAAAAAAAAATTCTCCCACGTGTATTTTTTATTTATGATTAAAAAAAAACTTGTTCCCTACTTTTACTAAACTTTAGTCTCTAAGATTTGGGCTTTGAACTCAGTTCATGAGATTTAGTCTCCACTTTTAAATAATTGCTAGCAATTTAGTTATTGAACTTTAGTAGGTAATAATTTAATATTTATAATTTAAAATTTGTAACAATTTAATGTCCCTACTGTGAGTGTCAATTTTTATTATAGGATAATTTAATATTTTTAATCTATAAACATATTTGTTATTCATCTGCATCTATAAGAAATCCTACTAAATCCTAATCATATTTTTATAATAGGGATTGAATGGTTATAAATTTTAAATTAGAGATACTAAATTATTACGAAATTCAGTTACTAATTGGAAGTATAAGTACTAAATCGTTACAGACTAAACTCAACGAATTAAATTGTTACTTCAATAAAAATATAAGGACCAAAAGTTTTTTTTAACTGTTTGTTTATTTATCTTAGACAAGAAAATAATAATATGTTTGARGACTATTTGCCGTAGGAATCCCTTTTTGTACCAAAGTATATAGAAATGCATTTGTGGATACTTTGTTATTTTTTGTTCTCTATATTTTTCTTCTTTTAAAATAAAAACATCAGTTGACTTTTTAGAAAACAAATATTCAAACTTTTGCCATTTTGTCAATTTTATTATTATATGTGTAATTTACGAGTAAAAAAATAATAAAAATATAATTTTAAAAAGCAAACAATAAATCGTAACCCAAGTTTTAAATTTGTACGAAAATTTAATATATATATATATATATATATATTATTAAACACATCGATTTTTTTAAAATATAAAATAAAAAGGTTTGCATATTTATAGCAATTTACTCAAAAGAAAAGAAAAAAAAAAGACAGGACCTCCAAAAGGGAAAAGTGCCATAAAATTTGGAGAAGGTCCCAATTAATTTGTGATTAAGTGCATTTATTCTTTTATCCTCTTCCATTTATTTTCCCCAAATTTCTTATTCCATCATTTATTTTAATAAAAATTGCGAGTAGTAAATTTGTTTTATTTTTTTAGTACAATTCATTATTTAATTTTAAAGTATGCTTTAATATTCTGTTTAAGCCCAAAGCACAATATTTTAAATATATATTATTAAAATTATTTTTAGTTAATTTAGTGACACAATTTTATGATTTGGATTTAAATTATGATTAATATCATAAGAACATAATGTGGATTTCGAATCAGATCAAGTTAATTTTAGTAAGAATCTTTTATAATATACAACTATTGTCAATACGGTGTTTGTTTACTTTTTAATAAGAATCTTTCGTTCTATTTAATTACTATTGATGCATCAGTTGCTTACTTTTAATAAAAATATTTCATAGTATATAAATAACGTCCATTTGACATTTGATTAATCAATTTTGATTATCAAACCTAAGAAGTGATAGAAAGGAGACTAGAGAAAATAGTACAAGTTCTGCATACATGGTGAAACTTTACTTGTAGAGCAAGTCAAGCCATTGTGAGTGTTTACTCCAATAAAAATGTTTTATTGTGTCCTACTTTAAGGAAACTACTTTTTTTTTTCCTAACAAAAAAAATTTTCAAACTACTCATAAATTCAAAAATTAAAACCTCCAGCTGATAAGTCATTGTATATTATATTATTTAACATATTCTTGATAATCTTTTCAACAAGATTGAAAACTAGTAAAAGGTTGTAAAATATTCTACGACGACATGTTTCTTTGTTAGATGAGGAGATAAAATTTTAAACTTACAACCCATTAAGAGAGGCACTAATTTTCAACCATTTGAATTATATTAAAGTCGATACATCCACATCGGAAACATGACTCCACTTAAAATTCCTATATCATGTCCAATCATACAACAAAAATAGTAAGTATAGTATGAATACTTCAAAACGACAATTYCTTAAAGGTTGGGGCTAAATAGTAAATATATTATATTTCTTGAAAGTTCACAAACCTCAAAGCCTATAGTCTAAAACAAAAGGCTAAAAGTTCCCAACAAAAATAGAGCAATCTCAAAGTTTGAATTAAAATGAAATTAAAAAAAGAAATACATATTATAAAAAAAATTATCCTAAATGACATAAAATAAATATCTATTTATAAAAATATCATTACATTTTGTTTTTTTTTAAATATCACAAAAAAGACTTTTGATTATTCTCATGTGAATTGTGATCGTGTTATTTTTGTAAGATTTTAAATCAAATATTGTATATAATAATTAGGGGTGTAAGCGAGTCGGGGTCAGTATAATTTCAGATAGAACCAAAGCTGTTTGGATTAAAACCGACCCAACCTAATTGAATTGATTTTTCGATTCCTTACACCCTTGCATATTCTCCTTGTGCTATAATATTACCTCTCATTTTTTAAAACGGAAATTATATTTGTTTAAAATAAAAAGGATAAAGGAAAAATGGGGTAATTTCGGAATGTACGTAGAAACTGGGGCCCACTTGTTCTGACAAATCAGCGAAAGGTGGTGTATTGACGTGGCATACCAAGCTGCAAAATGGAACGAAGTGGAACCTCCAACAACACAAAAATTCTCACCGGTACAAATTTGGACATAATTTTACCACCAAAAAGAAAAGAAAAGAAAAGAAAAGAAAAAAATATATATAAAAGAGAATATTAAATTGGAGAATTTTGGAATTCTTTTGTTTAGATTCTGAGACTGAAACTCCCTCTGCACCGTACTGATTTTGAGGGCTCATCGGCGTAAGTTTTCTTCGTTGATTCGACGGCGAGGCGCTTTGGTTGCAGTAATGCATCCCTTAACTCCGGCGATTCGTTTTTCTTGATGGTTTGTTCTTTGATATCTTTCAATCTCTCGTCGCCTTAATTCTCTGTTTGCTCTTTTGTGTTTTTGTTGTGTTTTTCACCTTTTGCGTAAGATCCTGAAATTTGGTTGCGTTCCTTGTCTATTACATGGATTTTTGGTTTTTTTGGATGTTGCGTTTGGCTTTCGTTTCCTGTTTTGTAGTTTACTTATTTCGTTTGGAATTCTGTTTTGTGTTGTTTGTTCGTTTGTAATGTGAATACGGAATCGAGGTGCAGTTATGTGGTCTCTGATTAGTGTGAATTACGACTTCGATACGTGTTTGGAGACGTTAATCCAAGGGAACAGAGAGTTTTGACGTGAGATATTGAATTTAATCGTTCTTAAATGGTTCTTATGTGAATTCTGTGGTTTTTGCAGAAATTTAGAACTTCCCCAGCCAGACAAGCGATGGGAGAGCTCAATCGTGTAGAGTATGTGTCGGTTGGCGAAACGCCAACTCCTTCAGCTCATAATGTAAAGAAACTTTCCGTACTGCCACTTGTGTTTCTCATTTTCTATGAGGTTTCTGGCGGTCCATTTGGAGTTGAGGACAGTGTTGGGGCAGCTGGCCCTCTGTTGGCTCTTCTTGGGTTCCTGGTCTTTCCATTTATATGGAGTATTCCTGAAGCATTGATTACTGCTGAGATGGGGACTATGTTCCCTGAAAATGGTGGTTATGTTGTTTGGGTTTCTTCTGCCTTGGGTCCGTTTTGGGGGTTTCAGCAGGGATGGATGAAATGGCTTAGTGGAGTTATTGATAATGCTTTATATCCTGTGTTGTTTCTTGATTATTTGGAGTCAGAGATCCCAGCTCTTGGCGGTGGTTTTCCAAGAGTAGCTGCTGTCTTGGCTTTGACGGTGATCCTCACTTACATGAATTATAGAGGATTAACAATTGTTGGTTGGGTTGCGGTAGTCCTAGGTGTTTTCTCAATCCTCCCTTTTGCGGTTATGGGACTCGTGTCTATTCCCAATCTCCGGCCAGATGGATGGCTCGTGGTGAACCTGCGAGATGTTGACTGGAATCTGTATTTGAACACTCTTTTCTGGAATTTGAATTATTGGGATTCGATTAGTACTTTGGCTGGAGAAGTGGATAACCCAAACAAAACACTTCCTAAAGGACTGTTTTATGCTTTGATTTTGGTTGTTCTTGGGTACTTTTTGCCTCTTTTAAGTGGGACAGGAGCTATTCCGCTTAATCGTGACTCATGGACTGACGGCTACTTTTCTGATGTTGCCAAAATGATTGGAGGGGCTTGGTTGAGTTGGTGGGTCCAAGGGGCTGCTGCCATGTCGAATATGGGAATGTTTGTGGCTGAGATGAGCAGTGATTCTTTCCAACTTCTTGGAATGGCAGAACGCGGTATGCTGCCCGAGTTCTTCAGCAAGCGATCTCGTCATGGGACACCATTGATTGGGATACTGTTCTCAGCCTCAGGTGTTGTCTTGCTTTCATGGTTGAGCTTCCAAGAAATCGTAGCAGCAGAGAACTTCTTGTACTGTTTTGGGATGATTTTGGAATTCATAGCGTTCGTAAAGCTAAGGATTAAACATCCAGCTGCATCACGACCTTACAAGATTCCAGTGGGAACCGCTGGATCAATCCTGATGTGCGTCCCTCCAACAATATTAATATGCATAGTGCTGGCCCTTTCAACAGCCAAGGTGATGATTGTGAGTCTAGTTGCTGTGGCAATTGGCGTAATGTTGCACCCTGGTCTCAAGTATGTTGAAAAGAAGAGATGGCTCAAATTCTCAGTCAGTTCTGACCTCCCTGATCTTCATTTCGCCAACCGGGACCGCACAGACACCTTAGTATATTAATGCAATTTCCCTGGCCCCAGCTTCAAAGAAGGCTCGTTCGAAGATGCTTGCACTGTGTTGGAGATCTCATCTAAATCTATACCTGGCAGGCCAAAAATCTTGTAAGTTCAGTCTGTTTTAATCTGTGCTTAAGCTGTAGTGTTATCATATTTATCATCCTAGTTTTAGAATGATGATAGATAGAAAATCAGAAAAGAAGCAATCTCGGTTATTTAGATGAAGGTTCAATTAATAACACTGCTTGTTGAGTTCTAACCCCATGCTTCATTGTCCTTGAAACATTCCATTAAAATAAAAAATGCCTTCTGCACACACCTCTCTCTCTCCCTCTTTGGATTATTTTGAGAGATCATTAAAAGAATTGTGTTCTTTTATTTGTTTCATTTTAGTCTCTACTACAGTAAGGTTATTTCATCTCTCTGTTGTAGTATAGTTTAATAAGAAAATTGACAATAAATTGAAAGTACACAAATTTCATAGGGGAACCAAAAGGCTGAAAACAGTAGAATCCAAAGACTACAATTGTAAGTCTAATAATTCTTAATAGTAATTAGTAGCATTGATTTAAATGAATTTTTGCTCATTTTAGAAAAGAGTAAACAGTGGGTTTTATCTTTCTTTGAAAAAACTATTTACGTATTTGGATAAGTGATTGAAGTTTTTGAAAGACAGCGGCTGCTATTGAATGAATGAGACTCTTCTGAATTCAAGTCGACAAAAAGGGGATTTTTCTCTCTTTCTTTTTCTTTATTATTATTATTATTTTTTTTTTAATTTTGACTTTGACAGATTTTTGTGGAATATGTCTCAAGATTGAAAAAGATTTGCCCCCTCACCAACCAAAAAAAAGGAAGAAAAAGACAGACCGTGTAATGGAAAACCCATTCAAATTCATTTTTGTGTATGGTGAATTGAAACATCTATTTTTTTTTTTAATTTTCCATCTCCACATTTATTGAACTCTAAAAAAACAAAAATAAAAAAAAGTTACCAAGTTTAGTTATGTAGTTTTAAAGACTTAGATATAAAATAAAAAATTTATAGACATATTAGACATAAAAGTTTGGAGGAGAATTATCAGATATTTTTACAAATTTTTGAATCAGAAAACTATTTAAAATATTGTTTTTGAACAAGCTTTAAATTCAATGATTTTAGAGTGACAATGTATAGAAAATAGTCAACATGCACATTTACTAAAATATCTAACCCGTTTGAAAATCTGATAAAAAAGTAGTTTTCTATATTTTAATTATAAAAATAATGATTCGATAAAGAAACAGTAATTTTTTAAAAATTTTATTGAATATCTGCCCCATGCAAATAATTGAGTGACAAGGTATAGAAAAGTCAAAATGCACATTTACTAAATTATCTAACCGAATATGAAAGTCTAAAGGCCCGTTTGAAAATCGATCGATGAAGCTAACCGAGTTGACTAAGAATCAATCGTTTACCTCGACTAACGACTTTGGACCAAAACAGATAACCCCACTTGTTGTACTCAAAAGGATAAAAACAGTCATTTGATAAAGAAGTTTTCAAAAAGTTAGAGTCACTGCCCTAATAATACATTGGCTATAGATTGAACATCTGTATAAGTAGATTTTGATTTAATGATGTATGACAACATGCCATATTATTCTAACTCCTTTCAATAACTTCTCACTCTGTTCCAACGTCAAATTTTGACCCAAGAATTATGATCACAACAATACGAATTTTCATCTCTCTATGATCCAATATTTTTATTACTTATTACTATGACATATTTAATCTAAAAAAAATTGATTTATTCGACAGTAGCGGTAATTCCAATACGAGTTTCCGCAAAAGAAGTCACAAAAGTACTTATCTACTGTCAAAAAATTTGAGCACAAGGCCAAAGTTATCCCATAAAACGACCGATATTGCAATCGTTTGAAGGGAGGAAGAGAGAATTGGATTTTGAGATGTTGGCCTATACAACAATTTAACATTAAATTCTGACCTATCTTTACAATAAATGTGAGTCAACTGAACTACCAAAATATGATGCGATATCAAAAGTGTGATATATCAATGATATTTACCTGTACAAAGATCATAGCTCTACTTTCGCTTTCTTAACAATTGATATATGAAGATGTTGCTACTTGAGAAGTTTTGTTACCATACTGACAATGTAAAGTTGAGATCAACAGGGCTCAAGCATTGTTAGTCAAATGGCAACCGCTTCCCGAGTCGGTAAACGAGGTGTATTTACAAAGTACGATGTTGATGAAAGAAATGGCAGTGCAAGACGGCGAAGGCCGACTTGGAAACAAAATTGCCTCATGTTCAGCTGTCAAATACATAAACAGACATATATAAGTCAGCCTGCCAAATCTTAAGAATGCCTATTACTATGCCATTTATTCAGAAACTTACCTTGATGGAAGTCCATGAATCTCACGCATCTGATATTCGAGTTCGCACCACTTCTCTTCCGGCATTTAACTCAATTAATCCATGAGGCTAATCTGGCACACTACCTTCTTCTCTACAAAAAACATAATATGGTCTCACTTTGCTTTAACCGAACTTCGTTCTTTCATCGCTTCCTTCTCGATTTTTTTCTTTTCAGCATCAGCCTGCCTTTCATTTTCTTCTCGTGATTTCTTGAACATCCTAACGAAGACTATCAAAATTTGAGTCACTGCAAAGAAAAAGCCAGCAAATTCGTTAGCATATGCAATGAAATAATCTAGGAAAATCTCAATGAGATAACCAAGTTCATCTGCCTTCACTTCATGTAAGGTTATCTGAGAGAGAGAATAGAATCCAAACAAATGAAGTTGAGAGATATTAGATATCCAATATATGAATTAAAGTTACCCAATCCACCCGCTTAAACTTTTGGTGGAGAATGGCACCAATAAGGAACATAACTTTATAAACTATTCTAGATAAAATAAGTCAATTGTGGTTACCACAATTTTGCTGCATAATTAAGCAAATAACGTTTCTGTTTAGACTACTTCAAAGAAAAACTTGATTCAAAACAGAAAAGATTTACAATTTTCCTTTGACAACTTTTAAGCCATCGATATAACTTGCTTTTCTTACAAGTCCTCACATGATCAATCTGATTTCAATTCAATCCTCGACTAAAACTTTATCTTTAATTATAAAGACAACTCAATGAAACAGTAATGCTTATGTTATCTGATCAAACTTTTCTCGTGGCAGTATCATCCACATGACCAAAAGCACTTATAAATCATGCAAACTCCACTGCAACTCCACCAATACAACTCGTGCTCAATAACCTCCTCTTATCTTAGACTAGTTTTGCACATAAGAACGATAATTGGAAACTTAAATTCATTGTCCTCACATCAACTAATCCAACGCATGGTTCAAACATACCACTGAGAATGTTGAGAATTGGCATGGTACAACATTGTTTGCAATTCAACTGAGAAATTTTTTCCTATTCATATTTGCCTCATAGCTGACACCCTACCTCGCTCCCAAGTCTTATTTATTTCTCAATGATTGGGTACTTCCAGGGATCATCATCTGGCTACCTACATAGCTACTTGCACAGGAATTAGGATAACAATCTGATTGAACACTCAACTCTGGATATTCCTGCAGTACCATGGCCTCCCAATCCAGTTGAAATTTTCTTATTTCAAATGGTAGGAATAATTACTATTATTAAAATAACTTTCACTATTAGGCAATTTTTTCGTTGATTATATATTAATATCACTCACATGTATGTAGGCCTGAATTTTTGTAGTTAATAACCTGACCCAGCACATACATAAGTTGTGTATTAAATTATTGCAGACTACACAAACTTAAGTTGTTCTCTTGTGGTCGAGGTTGTATGGCAGTAATTCTGAGGAGGCTAGTTTTGGATGGATTCCATGAATCTTGATGATTTTAAGTCACAATTTATGGTGGCTGGGTTTCACTTCTATTCAAATTGATAGTCGAGAAGGTGTTGATTTTTGCCTGCCAATATTAACCATTGTCTAGGTTTCTAAAAGGAATCACTTAAATTCCCACGTGAAGTTATTTTTTCATTGAGACTTTAACCTTGATTTCCCATGTAAATAGTAAACTCTTTTTCTCATTTTAACTACGTGAGTAAAAAATTATGCATCTGAAATATAAAATTCATAAGACCTTGCTCAAAGGGGCACCGAGCTGGATCCTCGCCGAAGTACTGGGATAATGAATCTGCATTTCTCCCCT